TTTAAATGTTGTCATTGTACCAGCCTCCACCACTTCCTCTGGCAGCTCGTTCCATACACGCACCACCCTCTGCGTGAAAAAGTTGCCCTGAGGTCCCTTTTAAATCTTTCCCCTCTCGCCTTAAACCAATTCCCCTCCAGTTCTGGACTCCCCTACCCTGGGGAAAAAGACCTTGTCTATTCACCCTATCCATGCCCCTCATGATTTTATAAACCTCTGTAAGGTCACCCTTCAACCTCCTATACTCCAGTGAAAAAAAATCCCAGCCTATCCAGCCTTTCTTTAGAACTCAAACCTTCTATTCACAGCAACATCCTGGTAAATCTCTTCTGAACCCTCTGCAGCTTAAGAATATCCTTCCTATAACTGGGTGACCAGAACCAGACACAGTAGTCATCAGAGATAGTAGAAACTGCAGATGCTGGAGAATCTGAGATAACAAGGTGTAGAGCTGGATGAACACAGCAGGCCAAGCAGCATCAGAGGAGCAGGAAGGCTGACGTTTTGGGCCTAGACCCTTCCAGTAGTCATCATCTAGGCTGAAGTCATCCTACCGATAAGAAGTGCCTAGTCTGAAGTACAGACAACGCCATCGCGCATAAACCTGCTGCCTTAAGAAGGGCAGCATGGGCGGTTTCGCAGCTTGCAAAGGGGAACTGGACAAACATCCAAACGGCGGAGTTTACAGGGATAGGATGGAGGCAGCAGGAGGCGCTCTTGGGTATCCAACAAGCAGAACAGCCTCCTCCTAACTGTTCCACGAATAGGACACTGCACAGAATTGGGGAAGGGGGGGGGGGGGTGTGCCACAGCGATTTTAAACGCGGCTTTTTTTTTGACAAAAGACAGCGGCAGCACAAACCTGAGAGTTTGGTGATCTGCTGATGCTGGTCCTGCAGCGTGTGGCTAATGCGTGCGCTGAATTCTGTGATGGCGGCCATGTTGGTCGCCAGGCAATCCATCTCATCCTCCATCTTTTTGAAGTCGTTCTTCATCTTCCTGATGGTGTCTGGGAAGAGGACACGGACGGGTTAGTCGCCGGGCAGGGCAGAACCTGAACTGGGCCGGGGAGGCGAAGGCCCGCTGGTATTTATCCAGAAACGCAGTTCACGTTCTGAGGTTCAAATTGGATAA